GCTTTCTCCATTTGTGTTTATAGCGACCATAGCTGTTGCAAAAAGCTTTCTAAAGTACTCCAGGCCTCCCTGGAGCAAAGTCTGGCTGATGCAGGGCATTGTAATAGCAGCACACTCTTTTGCAGGTGCAAAGTCACTCTAAACCCTTCCCTTTTCCTCTCTCCAGAGACCTGAGCTTGCCATAATTTTCCATACCAAGCCGTCCAAGTCTGGTGTCATTACAGCAGATGTGGTTTCAGCACAGTGTGTGGGGCTGGGAATTGCACTGGCAGCTCACTGCTGTGTGCCTCTGTGCTGGGGACCCTCTCTCTGGAATCACCATGCTGTCTGAATAGGAACATCTTAATGACTTCTGCAGCTCAACTTTATTCAAACCAAGGGTGGCTTTACCCTTTTACACACAGCACTTAGGTATACGGATTGGTGCAAGTGGTGTTTTGTGCCATTACAAGTTGAGTCATTGAGAACATTTTTCACTCATGAGCAGGAAAGTCCAGATCCTCCAAACCAGCTGAGACTGTTTAGTGAAACCAAAGAGCAGTGACTGGTTAGTGGCTTCTAATCCTCTGTTATACTCTCTCTTCAAACAGCATCTAGTACCATTTAATGCTTTTAGCATTAGGAATCACTGCAAGACAAAGCACTCCAGCTATTCCTTTACCGTAACACACTTTTTCCTAATACAAGCTTACATGAAAAATAAAACTGAAAATCTGGCTTCTAAGAGTATTGAAAATGTGATTTTCTGCTCTGTTATTCCCATGCTCCCCAAGAACCAGGATCTCTGTGCACACCACTTATGGTAACTGTGCCAAAGAGCAAAAATTCCTGATCTTCCCATTTCAACATATGGATCCACATCTACTGCTGTCTTTGTTCCTCATGTTTTATGTGAGGCTGAGAAAACACTAATAATCTTCATTCACAAAAGTAATTTCTTCATATTGCACCCCTTACCCTTTTGAAGCCTCCCTACAACAAGCAACTCGAGAGTAAGCATCCTTATTTACAAGCACCTCCAGCATCACAGTGACACCTATGTAAAAATCAATAAGGGGTCCCAGATATTTCTGCTGCCTTACTCAAATGTCAAGAACTGTCCTACTAATGCACTCATAGGTGCAAGAAAAGAGAAGGAAATGAGGAAATAAATGCTCTGTTCAGTGGTCCCCATGCATGTGTATCATCGCATGGTACTTACCCCAGTAATGCACTGGACATGTAAAGGTTTTACGTTCTGTTCACATTCTCACAGCATTCCCAAGGGCTTCACAAGGGAACAACTATATGTTCTCACACAGCTTCATAAGAAGAGATGTAAAACCCAATGTACTCAATCTGATCGCTGCTGACGTGGCTGCCCAGACACCAAGCAGGGACACTCATTGTAGAGTGGCAGCCAATGCTTTTGTCTTTGCTTCTATCTAACTAACTTTTTAAAGTATATCCTGATTCCAATACTCCAGCTAAAAGGAAAAGTCAACGGTTTTGACTTTTTTATAAGAAGTTTTTCCATCCATATATTTCTTCACATTTACCAGACATCCTTCCTGTATTTTATTTCTAAAATGTGACTTTTATGTGGGATTTCTAGTGCTCCTTTTGTCTGTTAAGAATTGTTATCAGAGAAAATGACCCTAACCCAGCCCTCCTTAGGACTGTCCCTTGGGCTTCCTTGCACCCATGGGCCAGGTATGGCACACAGCAAGGTGAGCCAATGGAAAGGCTCTCCAATGCACCTTACGGACTAAGGAAGAGGTATGGGACTCAGTCTGGGATGTTTAGAAGGAACACAGGTGGGGAAGAGGAGTGAGCTAGATTGTTTGGGAGGAACAAGCATGGAAAAGATAAGGACAGAGAAATAAAAAGGGGTTGTTGCATGTAGACACGTGGCTGATCAGTATGTTTACTTGGCTATGGCTTGCACCTGATAAGTTCAGTTTATTCCATCTTCTGATAAACCTCCATTTCTGTTTTCCAGTGTGAATGGATTCTTTCCTACATGCACGAGAGTGAATGAAGGCCTAACTGCCAGCAGCTAGTTTTGGACCACAAGCAGTAAGGACCCACTGGGAAGTCAGCAACTGAAGAAAGTGTGAGCTCATATTTCAACACGTGATTGCTAGCGAATATCAAGCTGGACTAGCTGCTGACTACAGGAGGCCATAAGCCAGAGATCAGAGTAGCCATCAGGCTGGACTGGATGCATGCATGTCTTGAGGGGGACTGCAGGAACAGTTCGTTCGTTTTCAACCCAGGCCATTCTATGATTCTATATGAGTGCCTTTGCTACTAGAGGACTTTTATCCTGATCACCCATGGAGGGAATCCAGATAAGGCCTTTGTTGATAACTGGTCTGTGTACATCTATGCAGTTATCCTTGTGTAGAGTGTCTGCCTGTGTCTGTATGTGTTGTACATGTGTGTGTGTGTGCCTATTGAGAATATGTACCAGTCCTGCAAGTGGCAGAACCTGCTAACACAAAGCTGCAGTGGATTTGCCTCTATATGCCTGCTGCATTCAGTGACTCCTGAAGGGTTGTTTCTGGATCCCGGCTCCTGATCATACCTTGCCCTACCTCCCCTGCATGGTGTCCTTGCTTGCTCTTGCTGCAGGATTGACTGATCCCATCCTGAGACCCTGTCATACTGTGTGGACTCCATGGTGCTGACCTTTTCTCCAAATCCTGATCTACACTCTGTCTTGTCCCTTTCTGTGTATACAGCATCATCTCTGTGAGTAAATTATAAAGCACTAGTGACCGTTCCTAGGCACTGAACTGCATCACAGTAACTGCAAGGTCGTAAGAACAGTCCTTGTCAGACCTTGGGGCTATGCCAACAAACACTCCTAAACAGTTCAAAGGCATAATGTGGGATGTAGATCAAGTTAGGGTTTGCGTGCACTCATCCTTTTTTGGAAGCTGAGTGAACTAACAGGCATAAATAAATAAGGCCCATCCTGTGTCTGCTAATCTCAGTGCCAGAGATTCAGCCTGAGCACATTTAATTTACCGAGTTCTCAGGGTAGAACCCTTCATTGGGTCCTGTACCCTTCACTTGGTCACTGAGCATGATCTCCCTGCACTGAAAAGTCCGTGGCTTCTCCCATCTTTCACATCAGCCTGCCCAGACCATTGCTTCCTGCCCAGCTATCTTATGGATCATGTGTTAGGTCATGCCACCCACCCGTCATACACAGCCTTCAACTACACCTTTGCACATACCCTCTGTTTTTTCTCTCTCCATTGAGTCTTGATTCTCCTGGTCTGGAAGTTCAAGCATTTTTCTGTAATCCTTGCACAGTCTCCATAACAAAGCCATGGGCTGATACTAAATCTGATTGAGTTGACCGATCAAGACTGTTTTAATGCTTCTTTGTACTCTCCCAATAGATGTCTAACATCTGTATGCAGCTGATACCGTACCATAACAACACAATGTCCTCCCCAGCTTCTTAAAACAGTCTGAAGATATCACAGACCAAAGCCTCTAGAGCAGCAAGGCAGGAACCTCGTGTTGAAAGTGAAGTGTTGGCAAGTCATTTTTACACTCCCAAATGATCCTTTGGGATATTTTCCAGGCAGAATTGTGCATTTCTTCCCACAGGTGCTTTCCCAACTTGAGGTCCAGTGTAAGGGTACAGGAGCTGAGAGAGGTCATGTCTCTTCAGAAAGCAGAGAATAAGAAAGCAGATAATGAAATAGCAGAGGAAAAGGAGAGTACTAAAAGGATTGAACTCTGCCCCAAAAATAAAGAGCAAGAAGAAATTGGCAAGATGTTGAGATATCTTTTTCATGGAAGTTTAAGATGTTTAATTTGCATGTCTCAGCACTAATAGCATTCAGAGAAGCAAAGTGTCCAGCAGTGGAATGGAAACCTGACACAGCATTTCTCTCTGTTACTTTATCATGGATCAATGATGTTAATCCCCATGAGATTATCTTTCCCACAAGATGAGTCCCCTAATTGCCTCCTGTGCACCAGCATGTATGGCTGAGCCATGGCAGCATCCTGCCAGGGAGTGCCAATGGTAAGAGATGAGCTGCAACACCTCCTGTTCCCTAATCCTGCCTTCAGAGGCCAGGTTGCAGTGGTCGTATTGCAGGTTATACTGCAATGCAGAAGGGATGCTGACTCTGCTGGAGATGACATTCCAACCACTTGAATCTCCTTCCTGCCTCCACTGTCTCTGATCAGTCACAATTTTTTTCTCAGAATTTGTAAATGACAATCTAATTCCTCTTGCTACAAATTCAAGACCTTCCTAAGCAGGCAGAGTATTTGGGAGGCAATTAGAGACAACACAGAATAATCACTAACTGGTCATCACGACCCATATTTTACGGTTTTAAGGGATTGAGTTAGTAAATACTCATACAATGGGATTAGTGCATTCAGTAAACACTGAGGAGCAAAGGGAAATTTTGTGCTGGTGGAGCACAACTTATGTTACCAGTGATGGTGCATTTGCTTAACACCAGCATGAAAATCATCCCAAAAAGTTAATTAAGATTAATTTTTGCCCCCCAAAAATGCAATCACTCCTTTCTTATTGATTTAGAAAACCAAAAGATGAAGGGAATAAAGAGCTAGCCTACAGCCAATCCTGAGTAAAGCCTCAGCTACAAAACATGTCGTGAAAAATGAATGTAAGTTGGCTGGGAAATGAGTGCTGTCACAGAGATTGAACGCAGGCTGTGTGTCCATAAACAAAGAGGGATGAAAGATAAATATAAAGAGCTGATGGGAAAGTATCTGGGGCATGGATTGGTTGTGGGGAGGGGAGGGAGAGAGGGCTAGAAATCTGCTCTAAGTCTGGTTTTATTTAATGTCTATCTACGATCTGGAAGGAAGCAGTAAACACCACATTCATTCAATTTATATTTGATGTAATGACTCGTATGAATTAGAGGGGTGTTGTGTAAACCAATGGGGACAGACACAAAACACAAAGAAACCTAGACAGGCTGGAAATAACAAAGTGAGAGCCAAGTGGATGGGCAAAAGACAACAATCTGCAGGAGGAATCACAGCCTAAAGTGCAGATATGAAGCGGAGAAATGTGCTTAAAGAAGGGAGACAGAAGGTCCTAATAATGGCTGAGTCCAGCAAACTGGCTGTGAGCTTGTGGAACAGAGTCATCCCAAAGGAAGACAGAGGGTAAGTATCTGGACCTATTGATTTATGAGGAATTAAGTCAATGAGATGAGTTTGGCTGCATGACAGCTGAGCAAAGAGATCAGAGTGTGCCGAGGCGTTAATGCTGAGACAATCTGCCGGAGGTGAGGAACCACCCCGGGGACTTCTATCTACTTGGACAGTGTAAACACCACAAAGGAGGAGGAGGACTGATTTACGGTGTGGGGAGGAACGAGGGTCAGAAACAAGGTAAAAGAAATATAGGCTGGTTTAGCAACAGGGTGAGCCGTGTTACCCTGTGAAACAGCTACCTGTGAAAGGGTCTGACATTTCTTCTTTCTGAATCCCTTAAAGCTAGACTGCAGAAAGACACAAGAGAGAACAGGTTTTTGTCTTTAAGGGGATGAACTGAATGAGTATACAGGATAATGACAGTCAGGGTGACCATAGTCCAGATTTGTCTGCTAATACATTTAATATGCTGTAAAATTCTAAGAAGAGGTGAGCTTTTCCATCCCCTCAACTGCCCACGCAGCATAGTTGCCTGGGAGGCATAAGCTGTAAAACCAGGGTACTGCTACTAAGAACACAAGGATGAGAGAGAGGCCAAGAAGCTGCCAGAAGGTACCACTCAGGAAAAAGTATCAGGGACCTTGACATGTCACAGCTCAGGGGCTGGAGCATTCACTGGGGACATCAGAGACCTGAGCTCATTCCCCTTTTCACCGTGCTGAATATGAACCCACACCTCACAGCCCTCAGGGGAGTCCTAACCATTCAGCCTAGCAGAAGGAGTGGTGGTTGCCATCCATCCTGTTGATGCTTCTACTCCTTGTATCACCTCAAGGGTTTACTATGTTGCATGATGACGAATGAATATGATATTCTCACCATGCAGTAAGTAGACCACAGGTTTGGCTTGCAGTCCTGAGAAAACACACTTCATCATTCCTCAGAAGTGATTGCTCTAAAGTACGGTTAGAGTAAGACTTTCACGCAGTCTTTTCTCCAGGAGAAGGGAGGAGACATGATAAAACTTCAAGAGAAAAAAAGAGGGTGGCAGAGCAGACTATTAACTACCAAGCTGGCTGCTCTGCACAGTACGGATTTGTATGGCTCTGGAAGAAGGACCAGAAGCAGATGATTAGGAGGAACTTGGCTGACAGGCATGCAGATGGCTCAGGAATTTAGGCAGTCTGAGGGTGAAGTGAAAAGGGCAAAGGAATTCTGAATTTGGTTATGCAGTAGGTTAATCTGGCACTAATATCTTACAGGATCATTGTTTTAAGGCATTAAACCTCTTATGTGCACCACAGGAATGTTCAGAATACGCTGGAAAATTACCGTTCATTTAGATAAGTCCTTTCCTCAGACAAGAAGCTATAATGCGTTGTAAAAATGAGATCTCATGCACTGGGGTGAAGGTAAGGAGAAGAGAAAAATGAAAGAAGAAATGCATTGAAAATCATGTTTTCAGCTGTGAGACACTGGGAACGGAGTTCCAGCTGTCTGGAGAAGATAAGGACAAAAGTGAAAACGAGGAGCATTTTAATATATCACTGGTGACAGAAGCATTAGACTTGGCAACAAGCTGTATTTCCTTACTTAGACAAATAATGTTTTTGAAAAACTACACAAGGATGAAAGTAAATATCCAAAAAAAAAAAACCAAACCAATTATGCCTTGCTGCAGGGGGCTGGGAAGGGACCCAAACTCCCAATTCTTGGAGCAAGGGAGGAGTCCCACCGTACACACTCGTGAAAGATGTTCAAACATCAAGTAATTCTACTTTGAGTCTACTTATTATACATGAGTAAAACAGCTGCCTTCAAGCTTAATGAACAAATAGCTACCCAGTACCTTCATTTCCCAGGAGGATTTGCTTGTGCTCTCTGCACACTGCAGCTAGAGTCACCAAATAGGGCAATGGCAACTTCTGGGGGTCGTCTAGTCAATCCATGCTCAAAGCAGGATCACTTGCCCAGTGTCACATCCCAGTAGGTTTAAATATCTCCAAGGATGGAGATTCCATAACATCTTTGTGCCAGTACTCAACCACCTTTGTATGCACCAAAGAAGCTTTTTCTCGGTGGAATTTTCCATTTTCCAGTTTGTACTCTGTGCCTCTGGTCCTTTCACTGGGCATCACTGAGAAAAGGCTGTTGCCATCTTTACAGCCCTCTCTCAGATATCTATGCACATTGAAGAGCTTCCTCTTCCAGGCTGAACAGTGCCATCTCTCTCAGTGCATCCCCATACATCAGATACTTGAGTTCTTTAAACACCTCCAAGGTTCTTCACTGGACATGTTCTGCTACCTCCATTGGAGTATGTATTGGAGCCCAGAGCTGAACACAGCCCTCCAGATATGTCCCACGTGCCGCAGAGAAACCTCCCACTCCCCTGGCAAGCAGGATAGGAGCTTTCAGACAGCTACTGGAAAAGACTTCTTAATGGTGAGGAAAGTGAAGCAATGGAAAATTATGCAAGGAGACTATGAAAAGCCTGTCACTTCAACAAGTGCCTGAGAGGAACATATTAGGCCTAGAAGATCCTGATGTCAGGCAGGGGAGTGAATTAAATGAACTTCCAAAGCTTTTGCCATGGTTCTCAGCTAATTCACTATATGTAAATTGTGGCATCAGTATTTGAAAAAAAATCCTGTTATTCTAAGAATGGCGCCTAATCATCTGACACAGCGCTGAAAGACAGCTACTTATTTCCAAAGGACATTTTATGCTCTTCTCCTCTGCAGGATCCTGGAGTTCTGCAAACACTGATCATTTATCTTTGCAGGGCTCCTGAAGAAAGGGAGGGAATATGAACTTCCACGTTTACTCATGGCAGCTAAGGTGTAAAGAAATAGAAGTCAAAATTATTGAAAGAAACCATAACCACGGTTTCTCATTTCAGATGCTTAAGAATGCTGTTTCATCACTGTGCTTTTTTTCAGGATCTACAATATATCTTCAAAGCACATTTTCCATAATAGTGACTATTCACCAGGTTCCAGCTGTCAGGGTTTCCAGAAGAGCAATTACCATCTGTGAAAAGTTCTGAGTTAAGTGAGCAGCCCATCATTTCATAGGAATGATGTTCAAGATAATAACAACAAAATCCATAATAGCAACAAAATCCAATACCAGGACAACACTCAGTTTCCCAAACCACAGTACAATCCTTTCCTATCTTGAAATCCTCCACCGTCACCCTCCAAATTCCACAGTTTCTGAATGAGGTAACCATGATTCATCCCACAGCAGGTCCATCCTGTGCAGTGAAGAAAAACCACAAAAGAAAAACAGACTGTGGTGGTCATACAATTAGAAACTGCATGACAGTGCGCACAGTGGACCTGAATTATGGCAGCTTCAGTTCTGGCTTTCTCTGTCTTGGCTTGACAGTTAAGGTGTTCTTTTCTTATGGGTTTATTTTTTTACAGTTTCAAATAATTCCTTAGGTTTTTACAAAAGCGAACTGGAAAGATAAATTCCTTGCATGGAACCAGCTGATCCACAGCTGGGTAAACAGCAGAATTGGAACTCTTACATCCTCTGCACATTTCAGCAGATCTACGGAGATCTGCTGGCAGAGTTGCTAATAACAACACATTAAATACTGTCTTCAGATGGCATTTACATTTGCATATCTTCAGATGTGGTTTAAACATTCCAGAAGGAAACAACGGTACGTTCTCTTTTCTTGAAAAAAGGTATTCCTCAAGCAGACTTTTAACTCCTTCTGCCACTTCCGCTTCATTCCCTCAGGTTTTGTTATTTTTATAGCATAACAGCATGCTAACTATCCCCTAGTTCTAATAAAGTCACATTGTTAAAAGTAGATCACCTGGCTACATCTGTCTGCGCTGAAGCCTGGCACAAATAACCCATGCTGAATAGGAAATTTATTCCTGAAGCTGTGCAAAGTTCCTGTGCTGATTTCTGAACCTAATGTAAAACCAAAAGCATAGATTTCAGTTCTGATCTTCCACACGTTTTGTGTACATACAACTACTCTGAGTCCTGCATAGTTGTTTCCAGATAACTAACACCAGTGAGGACACTAGCAAGTAAAAATAGGTTTATATAAACGCATTTTATCATTTAAATATGGCCGGTTTCTCGTTTTAAAAGATCAAGCATGATCTAATACTTGTATCTACACATGAAGGCTTGGTTAATTTATTCTTGGCAATGTCTCTTGCCCCAATAAAAGTTATCATAGGAGCACTAATCAAACAATTAGGTTTGAAGTACCTCTGATTGTTTAATAAATTCAGACCTGTATACAAATGGGTCTTCCACTGAACAAGCCTGACGCGTTTCTCTGCAGATGAAAAGAGGCTGAGGCTTGATGTATCGCATTTAGGATGTAGAGGCAAGAATCACAGAATCAATCATCCAAAATAAATGATATTATTATTAATAACACTCAGAAGCCATGTGAAAGAAGACAAGATGAAAGCATGTGTTTAAACATGTGTTATCCCAAATGTGTTTGGGATATTTTACATACAGTTCACTGTCCACTGATACACACACATTGGTGTGTATCTCGGCTAGCTAGCAGTTACAAAAGCACAGCAAAGCACTACACTGGGAATCCAGAACATATAAGAGAAAGAAAGAGCATATTTTTGCCATGATCAGTGCTACTTACAACTCCAGTGATTTACAGCATAAGGAACACTAGGCTTTTACACATTCTTTCTTTCTAATAACTGGGCAAAATCCCCAAATGACACAACTCTGAAGGAGATCTTTGAGCCACGTTGAGGACTCATGTATCCCATGAAACAGCAATGGCAGGCAAGCGGGCTCTAATGTGATCTCTTTAATAAGATTCAGTGATATGGCAGGAACACCAACCCTTGACCAGCACATCCTGTTAGTACTTGAATCACACCTACTTGCTCTTATGCCCTCATATGATAGCCATGCTATATATCAGTGTGCACCTCTTTGTAACTACACACACTCCAGTTTTGTTGCTCCACTAATGATGCTTGATCTGTAATTTATACCCATTGTTTGCTCAACAAAAGAACATAACGTGCCTAAGCGCCAAGAGGGCTAACATCTACCTGATACGCTGAAATGATCAGCTCACTACCATCTGCACTAATGTGTACTTGAGATTTTATAATTGAATTTCACAGAATCACATACTGGCTGAGGCTGGCAGGCACCTCTGGCAGGCACCTCTGCCCAAAGCAGGGTCAGGTCGCCCAGGAGCATGGTCCAGTTTTGAGTATTTGCAAGGATGGATACTCAGAGCCTCTGCAGGCAGCCTGTGCCAGTGATCAATCCATCTTTCTTTGTAAAGATGATTTCTTTTTTTGTTTTCTTCAGTCTTAATGGAATTTCCTGTATTTCACTTTGCCCATTGCCATGTCTGGTTCAACCATCTTCACCCAATTTATGCACATAGCTGAGATCCTCCTGAGCCTGCTCTCCCCCTTGGCTGAGCAGCCCCTGCTCTCTCAACCACTGTTCCCATGTCAGATGCTGCAGTCCACTGAACATCTCAATGGCCCTTCACTGGACTGGCTTCAGTAATGCCCATGTCTCTTGTACTGCAGAGCCCAGTTCTGCTTGTCTGTTTCCCCTTGGAAGACATTGCTGTGCTATTCTATTTTGCACCATCCTATTCCATATTCTCATTCTGCATCCATTCATACACAGAATGAATACTTTCCACTTTGGGAAACAGTTAGCCTCGTTCACCTGTTTACTCTTTAATTCTTTCACAGGTAGAGATTTGGATGTCCTTCTGAAAATCACCAGATGACATATATTCCCTTGGAAAAGAGGAGAACAAAGCAACATATCCGCACTGAAGGTAGGCCTTCCAGCTACTTCTAGTTGATCTGAAGTTAGTGGTCACAGCAGAGGGGTCACATACATTTATTTCACTATAGAATGGCAACTACAGGACAGTTGGGAATGCATTATGCTATCAACATACACAGTATATTAACATACACTGAAGTCTTGCCTGGTCTTATGCTTTCATCATTCAAAAGAGCCAGCTATTGTGAAAAGGCCTTCCTGCTGGATAATCCCATGTTCATTTGGCAATGTAGGCAAGCCCTTCATGTCTTATTCCTTCTTCTGACCTATGCTTCAGGGCCAACCTCCAGGAAAATCCTGTGTCCTGCACAGAGAAGCCTCACCACTCTTGTCCCTCCATCTTTCCACGGTTGCGTCTCTGATATAAATCTACCCAGATTAACACAGGAATTTAGTGAGAAGAATTGGATATGTAGATAAGAGAAATTTTCCTGGCTTTGTTATTTGGCTACGCTGCAGTAAGAATACCTATCTAGAAAGCGTTTCCTGTTACTAAAGGCATCGTTGAGGAATGTTTAATTCTTAGCAGAACTTGTTCTACACAAACCGGATGATATAAATAAATAAACCATGAAATGTTCAGAGAAGACAAATCACCAGTCCATCAAAATGCCTGGTAAGTTAGTTCAACAGAATGGACTACGGGCATGTTCAATGAATCATCATCACCAAGAGTAAATAAATTCAGATGAAGTAAAACTTGATTGAATCATGTTGAAGTTTGGCACTTAACAAAATAGATCAGTCCGAAGTCTCGCATTAGGAACACATAATCTCTTAAGATTTATGAGTGTTGTTGCACACCACATATGTTTCTAGGTTACTGTTTGCTGTGTTGAGAACTGGATGCTCTCAGTGTGCAATGATTTGCTTGCTTTTACGTATTTTAAGCTCCAAGAAACCATTCTCCTTGCTCCCCTCTTTGGGGTACAGAGTAAACTTCTACAGTAGTAGACTTCCTGCTTTCTTCCTCTCCTCTAGACAAATTCCCAGTTTCTCAGAGGCAGTTTTTGGTTCCATCTGATTATTCAGAGCTGTTTGCTGACACATCTGTAACACGTTGTGAAATAGCCAGAACATAAATGGACTGCAAGCTGAACTCAGTCACTTGGGTTCAGTCATTGGAAAGAATCCTCAGCTTTTTAAATTTGGTAACACAATCTTCACACACTGGCCATACTATTAATCTCTATTGGTAGCCGTGTAATAGGAACAACATATGTCCATGGAAATCTTTTAAATAACAAATCAAGACAAGAAGTAACTTTTAATAAATAGTTACTTTCGTTCAGCATTTATATTGTGGCAATGTCCAGAGGTCGCAATCAAGTTGGAAATCCAGATGTGCTGACTGCTATGGAGATGGGGCAAATATAAAATTTGAAGCAATTTAAAAAAAAAAAAAATTAAAAATTATAACCATTTGCAAATCTGATGTCAAGTTCTCATTTAGTATAATAGCACACAAACCCCAAATATCTTTGCATGTAAGGTTTTTATTGTGCTACAAATACTGTCTGAGAATAGAGTTACTATTATCAGTCTTATTATACCAAGCAATGTAATATGCAGTTCAAGTACCAGACTAACACTGTGGGGGACAGGACTCACTTTTCAGCCTGGAATAGAAATCATATTTTACAGAATGCTTGAAAGAACCAACTAGGATTTACAGTGAGCGTTACGGGTTGTGGGTTGACATTGTCAGAAGCTGATATTTATAACCTGAGTGTCATCACATAGGCAACAAAGTCTCACGTCTTTATTCAAGCAGCAGTGCGCCTATTTGTCTGGAAATACTGATCCTTCTCCATACTCTCAAACCACATCTAGCTGAAGGACATTATCTATTCAGTATTTAAAGGGGAACTATAAGAAAGAAGGGAACAGTCTCTTTAGCAGAGAGTTGTGGTAGGACAAGGATAAATGGTTTTAAACTGGAAGAGGGGAGATTTAGATTAGATGTAAGAAGGAAGTTTTTTCCGTTAGATGGCACTGGAACAGATTGCCCAGAGAGGTTGTGATGCCCCACCCCTGGATATATTCAGCACCAGGCTGGATGGGGCTCTGAGCAACCTGCTGTAGCTGTAGGTGTCCCTGTTCATCAAGGGGAGTTAGACCAGGTGGCCTTTAAATGTTCCTTCCAACTCAAACAATTCTTTGATTCTATAATCCTATGGTTCCATGGAGTGACAGGGGGCCCAAAGCTCTGTCCCAAGAGGACACAGTTAGAATATAACATGCTGAATTTTAAGTATGTTCAGTAGGAGTCAAAAAGTGCACTCATTATAAGTAGTTTTACTGCTATAGAAACAAACAAAAATTCAGGAAAGATTAAGTTTGAACCAAAGTCTTGTCCAAAAGGTTAAGAAATACTGCGTACAATAAACAGTGCATACATACACACACATATACATAGATGAATACACACTAATGCTATTTCTTACATCACGACTCCACTCTAAAATAAGCTGAGTTTCTTGTGAAACACAGAAGTTATACTCCCTGAAGGAAACTTGCCCCTCAGTTAGCCTTTAAATCAACTCCCAGCAATACTGAGAATGGAGAGCAGAATCTCACTGCTGCTCTCCCTACTGCCATGCCTTGGCTGGCTGAGGTAATCTCAACACACATTTTGTTCAAGGAACAGCAGAGGAACAATCTGCAAACATGAATCTGTGTCAAATTCTGTCTGGAAAATATGGCATAAGGTGGGATGTCCCAAAGCAAACATGGCCACTGCATGCACTTGGCAGGGGACATAGGGAAAAGTGGGTGGAAGAACAAGGGACAGTGGAGCAAATTGCAAGGAAAGATGAACCCTTGTAAGGGTGGAACAAGGACTGCTGCATCTCAGACAGCTCTTATTTCCAGGCACAGCAGCAATACATCTGCTGTACTTGTGGCAGATTGTGTGAGTCACAAATAGGATTTCACAGTCAGCAGCAAACTTGTGAGCCATAAAACCCACTCCCTTCAATTACAAAGTGATCACCTCACGGAGATGCTGTAAGGCTTGATCAACTGATATTTATAGAGCACTTTGAGATCCTTGGATGAAAGTCACTATAAAAAGCTACAGATTTTTCATAGCGTTCATAGGCCACCTGCTCAGACCAGAAGCATTCACTTTTAGCATCGCTTGAGCCAGCTACCAATCTGATACCTCCACGGGAATTTCCTAAAACAGATGTGGCTGTCACATTTAATCTCTCTCTTACTAGGAACTCTGAGAAAAAGAACTCCTGGAAAAGGAAATAAAACAAATTGCATTAAAACTGATGGCGAGAAGAAGCCCCGTAATTCTGTTCTCACAACTCATGGATTCTCCATCTGTACCTTTCAGAAAGCTGCCATAGTGACTAACTCCACTGGCTTCACAAATTAGACCTGACCTAGATTCGCTGAAATCTTTGTTCAGCAGCTGGTTAGTGTAATATCCTGACTGCAGCAAAGTTCAGAATTGTTCTACAAAGCAGTGGGTTGAAAAGAAAAACAAACAAAATGGAATGCATGTTCCCTGTGCTCACAACATGCTGGCCAGCACTCCTCTTTATACCCAATGAATGTCAGAGAGTGGAATGATGAGGTTTAAATGGCTGCCATGTTCTCATGGATCCGTAGTATGCTCTTGAAAAAAGATGACTGTATTATTTCAGCTCTCAGTCTTTATTAACAAAAGAACAAACCCCAGGAGACTGAGGAAAGGCATGATTCTGAAGACCAGAATTGGTTCTAATTAAGCATGTCGTTAAACGCTTTGCAGAATTAAGATTAAAAAATGTGAAGTTTAAAATCCTGTTAGCTAAGGATAGAACAGTTCACGGTCTTTTTTATGAACTGATCTGAACCATATGAAACTCTTCAGAGCATGGATCAGGACTGGCATCCCTTCAGAATAAGGTTTCCCGTGATGTTTTGGACTTTCTACGTTGTGTGTAGAAACTGAGCACAGATGTCCTAACATGTTTCAGAGACTGAAAGCCTTTTGTTCCATGATAACAGTGGGAAACATCAATTAGAATCTTATTTAGTGATCTGGTTTGGTGCGTTTTGAGGGATGATTTCTTTTTCTTTTTGAGTTGGCTTGTTCCTATTTCAAATACAATCCAAAAAATACCAAAGTGAATTCAAAGGAAATGTCCTCTTGATCCTTCATCCACCAGTGAGAGATTTTTTAACAACCAGAATGTGTTCGGAAAGATGTCAGAATGCGCAAACTCCCAATCACACCCTCAGTCGGTCACGTCAGACCTCTGAGATAAATTACAGCCCAGGCTGCATTGGAGATACCTTTCAGGAAGGGCACTATTGCTGCTCAGAGATGAGCTGTTGCTGCAAACAGCTCATTATCATTATTGAAGGGGTGGAGGATGCTGTCCCAAAATAGTGACATAAGCATTAAGCACGCTATGGAAAAGTTCTTAAATTCCATTTGCTGTGTGGGCAGTTATTACAGAATAGAAATTTAAAGTTGATTATCTGTTTTCCACTGAGCAGAATTTTCTTTTTTGTTTTTTTTTCCAAAAAAATATCTGTACAAATCACAGTAAGGCTCTGTGAGGCAGAAATTTTTTCTCTTTGTGTTTTTAGTTTATCTCTAGAAGAGGAGAAACTGCTAAAGGCAATTCTCCATTAGAGAAACATATCCTGTTGGATGATGGTAATGGTTACTTATAGCCTAATCAGTGCCCTTCCAGACTATGTGCTACAGGCAGCCCAAGGAGAAAGATCTGTCCTAAATTGCCAGATGGCAAATTTTGCACATGATGGTCTATGAGGCAATGTTACTTGGTCCAAGAGACACAAACTGGGAGAGAGTTCTCACCTGTCCTGGGGAACTTCAGGAAACTGATTGCCATGATAAGCCTTTCACTCCTTTCCTCGGGCAATACCAGGCAGTGTGGATGTAACTGAGCTGAGATCCTTTCATGCAGCTACTCCCTCAGCCACACAGGGACCCTCAGCTTTCTCACTGCCAGGCTGACT